GGCCGAACATCTTGCCCACGAGTGTGTGGGCCATGCGCACTTGAAACAAGAAATCGCCAGCTTCCCAACTGATGGGAAGGGGGCCCCTCGATGCTACAGCGTCGCACCGAGGCCGGCACAACCAAGGCAAGTCGGCGAGAACGTGGGGAGGAGGAAAACGAGACGACGACGACGAGGAGGACAAGCGGACCGGCCACGAGGCCAGGAAAGGCGAGAAAGACGTGTGTGTGTGCGTGTGTGTGTGTGTGTGTGTGTGTGTGCGTGTGTGTGTGTGTGTGTGTGTGCGTGTTGTGTGTGTGGGTGTTGTGTGTGTGTGTGTGTGTGTGCGTGTTGTGTGTGTGTGTGCGTGTGTGTTGTGTGCGTGCGTGTGTGTGTGCGTGCGCTCCTCTGCGCATGAGGCAGAACGGAAGAGAGCTTCTGCCCCACGCCGGCACGAGCGACGGGCCGCGGAGCACACAAAACAGCACGGCCTGGCCATCGCTCGGACGTCCACTCCCTGTGTCTTTGTTCGGCTTCGTGCGTGGCTTTTTTCCCCAAAGGATCAAGGATGCTCCTCGATGGCCCTCGCCGAGGGAAAAACGCACACGTCCGAGCGATGCCAAGCGGTTGTCTGCACGCCCAGCGCATCGCCCGCAGCAGTCGCACGCGCCGGCCGGGCGGAGGCGCGCGGGCGGGGGGGGGGCCAAAGCCTGCGGGCACCGCTGGGCGGAGGCATCCCGTCGCCTCGCACGTGTGGTGCGCACCGGGCGCAACCGTGCACCCTGGCTGGGTATCGCGCGTGCCCGTGGCGGCCTGGGGCTGCGTACAGGGCAGTTTTCAATGCATAGGATTTCTAAACATATATGATTTTCTACATACATGATCAATTCATGAATGAATGTATGCATGAACTCATCGCTGTTTTTAGTACTAAATCCTTGCATTCTTAATACATGATCCGCACGCGGAGCATGAATAAAAAACGGCACTGCCTCTCTCTGTGCTCTCACTCCTTCCCCGTGGGGCGGGCGGTGCGGGTCGGGGGGCCTGCCCACGACGATCCGCAGGCGGCGGCACGGCAGAAAGAGAGAGAGAGAGAGAGAGAGAAAAAAAAAAAGAAAGGGAGAGGAGGGGACAACGTAGCATAACCGAGAAACATCACATCAGGGTAGAAGCTCACCCGCTAGCGGTCTACTTGCGCACACCCCCACTTACCTCGCGTACATGACACATGCGCTGGGACTGCAGGGCGATCTGAGCCTCGGACAGTGTGAGCGGCCAGTAGACAAAGGGCCCATCCTCATGACAGCAGCGACCTGGAAAGGAGGACCCGAGAGCGGCCCGAGGAAGGATCGAGGAGACGGAGTGGCGTTTTTGCCAGCTCCTCGGGATGCCAGTCTGCGATCTCGCGCGCGAATGCATTCGCAGGGCCTGATTGTTCCAGGTGACTCTGCGACGCACGGCAGGGCAGACCCGACGGCGACCCCGCCTCCGCCTCCTCCTCCTCCTCCTCCTCCTCCTCCTCCTCCTCCTCCTCCTCCTCCTCCTCCTCCTCCCCCCCCTCCTCATCTTCCTGCGCGCAGGAGTGCGAGGCAGAGGACCCCTGCGGGGAGTCGGCTGCGCGGCGGCAGCGCCTGCGAGTTGCGACACTGCTTGATGTGCTTCGTCTTCGCCAGGGCCCATCCGTCGTACTTCCCTGCTGGCGCAGAGGGCAACGCACCCATCCACGCACAAGCCTCCCATCTCCTCGAGAAGCCTCCGCGGAGATCCCTGGAGGCCTCGGGGGGCTTCCCAGAGGCACGAAAAGGGTTCTGACGCATTCGAAATCCTTGATTCCTGATCCTCCTCGTCGTCGTTGTCGTCGTCGTCATCCTCGTCGTCCTCCTCCTCCTCCTCCTCTCCTCTTCCTCCTCCTCCTCCTCCTCCTCCTCCTCCTCCTCCTCCTCTTCCTCCTCCTCCTCCTCCTCCTCCTCCTCCTCCTCCTCCTCCTCCTCCTCCCCCCCGATTGCTCGACAGGGTGGCCGCCACTGAAAATCATTCGGCCCGATGTTACCGATGCGTGGTGCCCAGCAGCCAGTCCCATTCAGCGGGGTCGTGTCAGGCACAGCACGGGCGCAGAGACGAGGACCGCTGCCGCGAGCGAGACTGGAACCTGGAATCCCCTCTCTCTCTCTCTCTCTCCATTTCTCCCTCCCGAATGACCCGCGCGGAGAAGAAAGGAAGCCATCACGAGTGGAGCAAGATGGAGGGAAGAGGGAAGGCCAAGACCAAGAAAGGGAGGCTTCGGGTACTGAAATTATCCGGAGGGCAGCGACGGGTGTACAGAAGGCAGGGCATCGAAGGGGCTGTCCAATCCTCCTTTGTCTTCCGTCAGACAATCGACATTCCCCGACGAGCGAGCGCCGTCCCTGCTCTGATCTCCTGAATCAGGGATCCCTTTCGTATGGACCTTGCAGATGGATGGGTCCTTGACGATGGCGTGCGACGTGGCAACGGTTACCCAGCGAGTAGACGCGAAGCCGGGTGGAGCTACGCGCGCGCACTGCGACAAGGGCGCGCCCCTGTCTCCCGCCAAGCGCACATGCTTTTCCAGTCCGACCGTCCCCGGTCCTTCCAGAATGGCGCCCCTGCTGCCTGGCCATCGCTCGGACGTCCACTCCCTGTGTTTGTTTCGGATTCGTGCGTGGTTTGTTCGCCAAATGGTCAAGGATGCTCCTCGTTGGCATCCTCGATGGCCCTCGCCGAGGTAAAAACGCACACGTCCGAGCGATGCCCCACGTTAGGATCGGCGCTCTGCTCCTGTCGCTCCGGACGGCGCTCTCGCCCCAGCGCGAGTCGCTCCTCTGGATCCGAGTCCCTCCTCGTCGCTGCCGTCCCGCCGCCCCGCTCCTGTTGCCCTCCTCGGCCTTCCCCGGGTCCTGCTGCTCCTCCCGCCTCCTCCACTCCAACTCCTGCCTGTTGCTGTTCGTCCTCGCCTTCCTGCCTCTCCTCCTGCTCATCCGCCACCACCTCCTCTACTGTACGCATCCCTCCTTTCTCCGATTGCGCATCCAGTCGGCCCGTATCATGAGGATGCGCGATGAGGATGCAAAGGGCCTGGGAAGGCCATTTCGAAGCTTTTCGAGCGGGGTGCGGCCAAGGAAAGTGGCCAAAGCTGGTACCCTTAGGAAGGTTGCCCATCCTTACTACGCGGGTTGACTGTAACGCGGAGAAGTCCTTGGAGCTTGAGGTGCGGCGGGACGCGTCGGCGGATGCAGGAGAAACATCGGCGCGGTGGGACGGGTCTGCGATCGATGGGGCAGGATGCAGGTCGTGGCGCGAGCGCCCTCAGCTTAGCTTGCCCTTCTATAACTACTCGCCATGGCCACTGCCCTCCTCACCCGGATATGGCCGGGGAGCCTGCCCTTTCCCATGTCTCTTCGATCGGAACGTCGTCCATGTCTCAAAATTGGGCTCCCGATGCAGCGCTGGCCTCATTTAAGGATCGGCATGCTGCTCCCGTCGTTCAAAGCGGTGCTCTTACCACATCGCGGGCCACTAGTCTGGATCCGAAAGGGAATTCTCCTGGTAATCCTGCTCCCTCCGATTATCCCACTCTTGTTCCTGGTGCTGCTGTTTCTCCCCCTCCTCCTCCTCCTCCTCCTTCCTCCCCCTCCTCATCCTACTCTTCCTGCTGCTCACCCTCCTGCTCGTCCGCCAACACATCCTCCTATGTACGCAGCTCTCCATTTTATGGGTGCCCACGGCACAGTTGGGTCATATGAGGTGCCCAGAACACTGTGACACCCGTCGGCAGGTATAGAAAAAAACGCCGCAATGGGAAAGAATGCGTGGGAGTGATGGGATGTCAGATGCGGCGCGAGCGCACCCAGCGTGCCCCTTCTTCCCTCTCCACAGCTGCACAATATGAGTGCTGCTCCCCTTTCATGCCCCCACTCTGTCAGGAGGACACTCGGCCCTCTCCGCGTATTGCGCTTTACATACAAGAGTTCCAGCGTTTTTGTTTTGTTTGTTGATTGTTATTATTCGCTTTCTTATTCTTATTATGTTTACGATTGCTATTAGTATTACTGTTATTATTATTCATAGTATTATTGTTATTGGTATTATTAGTACTCTTATTATCATTTATGTATGGATATATATATATATATATATATATTGCTAATATTACACGGTTGCTTACCATCCGGTTGCCTTAGGTCCTTCCCAAATGGCGCTCCCTCTCCAGCGTGGGCCTCATCTTCGGACCCTCGTTTGGCCCCCGCCGTTCAGAATGGCGCTCTCGTCCCCGCGTGGGCCACTCCGGTGGCTCCGCCTCATTGTTCATCGTCGCTCCCCTCACTTCCACTCCGCCTTGCCCTGCTCCTCCTGCTTTTCCCGTCCTCCTCCTCCTCCTCCTTACTCATCCTCCTTTTCCCCCTGCTCCTTCTTCTCCTCACGCGCCACCCCCTCGTCCCATGGACGCAGCTCTTATTCTCCAGCTGCGCATAGCACGACGGGGTCTGTTTGAGAGCTCCACGTCGGCAGTCCGACCAGCCATAACTGGGGGCGCTGTGGTCCTTACCCCCCTGGGGGAACCCATCGCGTCGACGATCTCTCGAGAGGGGCGTCGAAATCGATGGGTCCCCCAGGGGGGTAAGGACCACAGCTCCCCCAGTGGTGGCTGGCCTGGCCGTGGCACGCGTCCGCGGATGGCGAACACGTCGGCGCAAGAGGAAGGACTGGGAGTGGTGGGGTGTCAGATGTGGCGCGAGCGCACCTGGCTCGCCTCACTCTCTCTCTCTCTCTCTCTCTCTTTTTGTTCTCTCTCTCTCTCTCTCCATCTCCATCTCACTCTCTCTCTCTCTCTCTCTTTCTCCTCTCTCTCTCTCTCCCTCTGTGGGTCCTCTTTCTCTCTCCTCTCTCTCTCAACTCTTTTTTTTTTGTTCTCTCTCTCTCTCTCTTTCTCTCTTCTTCTCTCGCCTCTCTGTCTCCTCTCTCTTCTCCTCTCTCCCGTCCTCCCTTTCCGACGGCACCCACCTCGGGTGGCCCACAAAACCACGCTTCTCAACATCACAGAGGCCCACGGAGGCCCAGACCGAGCCAACCACATCCAAAAGCCTCGATCCTCGATCGGCGATGATCCTCATTAAAACAGGGCTAAGGTCGGGATAAATCGCTCCAGAGCGTTCTGGAGCGCTCTCAGAGCGTTCTGGAACGCTCTGAAGCGGCCGCGGCGCCCAACACATCCTCCAAACCCGCTGATTCTCAGAGATTTCGAGTTATCCCGATCCGATTTTGTCCCGATCTTCGCGTCGTTTTGAAACACCTCGATCCTCGATCGGCGATTATCCTCATGTGCTTCCGCCCTGGGAAAAAAGGCAGCGAGCGACGCAGAGGGGGGAGGGATGGCCGGACGGGCGGCCGCACGAGTGCCGAGGGGGCGCTGCCTGCCAGCCGGTCGCCGCGCAGCCTCTCCGATCGGCACGCCTTGACCCCCATCGAGTGCGAGCCGTGCTTGAGGATGCGCAGCTTCAGCTGGTCTCCTGTGAGAAAGGAGAGGGCGATCGAGGAGACATGTGGGCGGGAGTCTTGTTTTTTCCCAACGCTCCTGTGTGTTGGGTCCTCGTTTTGAGCTCGCAGCGCCGCGCTCCATCCTTCCTCCTCCACCTCCTCCTCGACCATCTCGGCTCAGCCTCAGCTGGTCTCCTGTGAAAGAGGAAGGGACGATCGAGGAGACATTTGGGCGGGCGTTTTTTTTTATTTTTGTTTTTTTTGGTTCGGACCTCGCGGAGGCTTCTCGTCGCCACTGCTAGATTACACTTGGAATTCTGGTGGGTATCAATCCTTTTGGAACATTCCGTTTTTTTTTTGAGCGGGGACGACGCCACCACAGACCTCACCGTGTACGAAAAAGGTTCGCGACAAAAACAAAAAACACCTCTAGGGGGCCACATGCGAACCCTACCCCTACCCCCAACGATTTCTGAGGGGGAGGGTGGAGTTCATTTCGTTCGAGAGCTCCCGAGCGAAGTGAACCCCACCCTCCCCCTCAGAAATCGCGGGGGGTAGGGGTAGGGTTCGCATGTGGTCCCCTAACCTCTCTCTCTTGCGCGCGCTCTCTGTCTATCTCCCTCTTTGTGCTTCCACTCGGGTTCTTCGACCGACCCTCTCAACTCCAACTCTTGCCTAATTCTCAAACAGATGCTGTCTATTTTGTCTGCTTAACTGCCCACTACCCTCAACTCTTCGACATGTATTCTCTACTTCCTACACTAAGCTCTCTGAATTTTGACTGTGGCCAACAAGAACATAGCCGAGAACTCCGAAAACTGGCCGGAAGACAGCGACCAAAGACACTGGGCGGAAATTCAGGAACCCGACCGCCAATTCAAATCGGCCCCGAACCTGGCAACGGAAAACCAGGAACCCGGCTGCCTATAAGAATCGGCCTGGAACCCGGAAATGGGAACCCAGGAACCCAGCCGCCTACCAACTGGGCCCGCCACCTTCACTCACTCTTTCAATCTCCTCTAGGACCTCTGCAATGCAAGAGCCCAGGGGGAGTGCTTTTCATTTACGGGGGAGTGCTTTTCATTTACCCTCTCAGCTCGCTCTGTGTTGCATTTTTGTACTCTCTACCCTCTACCCATTGTCTCTGCGTCTAAAATGAATATCCCTCTGTCTCCATTTGTGTACGATTATTGTATCCCTGTCTCTGCATGATAATCCCCCTCCTTCTCTCGTTTTTCCTTTTGTTTTTTTTTCTCTCTCTCTCTCTCTCTCTCTCTTTCTATAAATTGTTAAAGACACGCACGAGAACCACCCGCGCGCACGCAAAACGCGCGCTGAGGTTCTAGCCGATTGCGCAGCAATCGTTTTCCATAAACCCTGCGCTGCTCCGCGAACCCCAAGATACCTACACCCTGCGAAATGCTTAAGAAATCATGGGTTAAGAAATTCATAGTCTCAGAATTTGAATGAGAACCCAACGTATCTATTAAAAAATTAAGATTTACATTGAAACATTAAGAATAATCGAGACTCTGACCGAAAAAAAAAAGTGTTCTTAAGCATCGCCTAAGGTGTAGGGAGAGGTTCCCCGGGCAAGGGCCGCCCTTGGCGCGTGGAGGTGCTGGGTACTCCGGGGGATCGCTTCGGGCTCGGTGGGCGGTCGCGGAGCCGCCGCGCGAGGATCGGGAGGAGGAGGAGGAGGAGGAGGAGGAGGAGGAGGAGGAGGAGGAGGGACGTGCGACACGTCTCCGACCCTTCCCCAGACTGCGCAAGCGACCACGGTGGCCGAGGAGCGCCCCCGAGGCTCTGGGCCGCCGCCGCCGCCGCCGCCGCCCCCGCGGGCGCCGCCGCCGCGGCAGCCGCCGCCGCCGCCGCCGCGTGATCCTCGTGGTGGTCGTCGTCATGGTCGTGGTGGTGGTAGGAGCAAGGAAGGGAGACACCAGCACCCACAGGGCGAGGAGATGCGCGGAGGCAAGGGGGGGTCTCCCTGGTGGTGTGGTCCATCACTCTCGCTCGAGACATCCCCGGCATCCAGCTCGGGGAGGCATCGTGGACCTCCTCGCTGGAGGTGGGCCCCCTGGTGGTGTTGGTATCGCTTCTCCTCCCTCCGATGGTGGTGGTGGTCGTCGTCTGTTGGCGGCGCGCACAAGGGGGTAGGGGGAGGGGGGAAGGCTTCGTAGAACAAGGCTGCTTCTTAGAAGGCGCCGGCCTTCCATCTAGCGATGAGGCCCGCGCCTTCTGACAAGCAGGGGTGCTTCTAAGAAGCCTTCCCCCTCCCCCTACCCCCCTCTGCGCGTGGCTGAGTCTGTGGACGTGATCAGATGATTGCTCGTTCTGGGGTGTGCTTTGCTCTTGCGGGGCCTCTGGGGGCTTCCGGATTCGGAAGATCTGTGGGGCCTCCAGGGCATCCAGAGGCCTCCTGTGGCTCTCCTGACACTCCCAGAGGTCCCCAGAAGAGCTCTAGAGGACGGCCTGGGTGAAGCGCCAAGGGAACTGCCAGAGCGGGCCTAGGTCGTCGATCATGCAACACAAATCTAACACTATGCCGTCCGTGACGAGGAAGCGGTTCGTCTTAACGTTGATTTTAACTTGGGGTTCTATCAGGGCCGCCTCAGAGCTCTCTTGGGCCGTCTTGGGCGCGTCTAAGGCCATCATGGGGTTCTCTCGGGCCGTATTGGGGCCCTCTTGGGAGCCTCTTGGGCCATCTCGGGGCCGTCTTGGGGGCCCCTTGGGATGTGGTGGAGCGCCAGCGGCTCAAACAAGTGGGACCTCGGGAAACACAACAAAAACCTCAGAACAATTCATTGATTTCTGCCTCTTGCGATCAGCCGCCTGAGAGCATTTTCGGACGGAAGGCTCGAATCATCATTTCGGGCTCCTACGCTCGGGCCGCTCTTGGGACCGCCGCGAGGAGAATCCTCTTGTACTCGGCCGCGCAAGGATTCTCGTTGATTTCCGCCACATATGGTATCCCTTGGTAATTAACTAATAGAACGATTGCCTTTGTATTCTGCCACAACAAATCCCTGACTAATCCACAAGTAAAACATATCACTTTAAATTCCGCCACGAACGGGCATCCTGAAAAGCATTCTGCTACAAAAAGTGAGCCGTCTGGTTTTCCGAAACAAGAAGCTTACCTCTGCATTCCGCCACGTAAGGAGCTCTTCGGCAATCAACTGCATACGGAAGCTTTGTGTATTCTGCCACACATGGAGTCCTTTAGAAATCCACCACCAAAAAGAATCGCATAACATTCTGCCACGAAGGAATCCTTTGACATCCCGCCAAGAATGGAATGCTTGTGTATTCAATCACAAAGGGAAACCTTGTGTTCTGCCACAAGAAGATTATTTGTACGTTCCGCGACAAAACACATTCCTTTATGGTCAACCACATAATGCATATGTTTGCCTTTTGCCCAGCGAAGGCATTGTGCCGCAAAAAGAATCCTGCTGTATTGCGCCGCAACAGGTAACCGTCTTGTATTCGGCCACAGAAGAGATTCTCGTTGGATTCCACTACATAGTGAATCCCTGGGGGATCAACCACAGAAATCCCCTTGGTAATCCACCCCCAAAAAAAGGATCCCTCAGTATCCCGCCAAACAAGGAATCGTTTAGTAGTCGGCCACATAGGGGATCCTTGTGTATTCCACCAGAGGATGAACCATTCTGCATTCGCCACAAACAAATTCCCGTTGCCTTCCGCCACATGAGAAATCCCTGGGTAATCGACCACAAAACGATTCCTTCAGCATTCTGCAACAAAAAATCCAGTTGTATTTTGCCACAACGGGAATCCTATTGTATCACGCCACACAAGAATTCCTTGTGTATTTCGCCACAAGAGAAAAACTGTTGTATCCTGCCACAAAAAAGGATTTCTTTTGTATTCCGCCACATAACAAATCCCCTTGCAATCCACCGCGTTAGGACTCTCTGTGTAATTCGCAACAGAAGTATTTTTTTGCATTGTGCCACAAAAACATCCGGTTGTTTTTCGCCACAGCAGGGAACAACTTTGTATTCGGCCACGAAAAGATATCTGTTGGATTCAGCCACATAAAGCGTCGCTTGATAATCAACCGCAGAGCAGGTTCCTCTTGTATTCTGCCACGAAAAAGGCATCCTTTAGTTACCCATCGCAAGAGGAATCCCTCATAATTTCGCCACACACGGAATCCAGTAGCATTCTGTCACAAGCGGGATCCGGTTGCATCCCGTCACAAGGCGAAACCTTTTCTATTCGACCACAACAAGGATTCCCTTTGCATTCCGCCACGTCAGGAATTCATTGGTAATCGATCACAGAAGGATTCCTTTCGATTCCTGCCACAAGAGGACTCCCCGAAATATCCACATATTTCGTATGATGGGGAGCTGGAAGCAGCTGAACACGCCTTGTTTGTTTCTAATGTTTCTGTTTGTTGTCTTTTGTTTTGGGTGTGTTGAGTCCTGGCAGAAGCTGGCCAACTTGAGCAACCTCTGTCAGAAGCAACAAAAATAGGACACACCAGACACATCTGAACACCAAACATCAACAACCATTTGTTCCCACAGAAGTGCACTTGAATTCTTCCACAAAAAATGCTTTTGTATTCCGCCACAAAAGGGAAACCGTTTTGTATCCGGCCACAAAAAGAATCCCTCCGTATCCCACCACAAACGAAATCCTGCAGTAGCAGGTTCACAATACGAACCATGTGTGTGTATGTATATACATACATCGATCCCATGCATCATGTGGTGTTCGGTCCTCGCTTTAAACCAGCAAAGCCCTGCGTCCTCACTCTGTCACGCTACCCCCTCCTCCTCCCTCATCCATTGCTCTTCTACTGTCCCCAACATCGTCATCATCAGCACCATCATCGCTACCATCATCATCATCATCATCATCATCATCATCAGCATCATCATCATCATCATCAGCATCATCATCATCATCACCACCATCATCATCATCATCATCATCATCATCATCATCACCATCAGCATCATCACCATCATCATCATCATCATCATCATCATCA